CTTCTCAGGGCGCCCTGATTCAGGTCTGGGAGCTCAGCCCAACTCTTGAATCTCTCCTTCTATCCCGGGATGTGGGCACCTCAAACCTTCATGCCCCTTAGCTGTGCTAAGGGCGATTTTTTCCACCCTGTCTCTGTGGCTCATCGCCTGTGGCATCCAGCAGGGGCCGTTGCTGGAGAGTTGATGATAAAACATGAAACAGAAAATCCTGCTTTCCAGAAATAGGGGCACTCCCCCCAATCCCGGCTCAGGGCAACAGGGTGGGGTAAGGGTGGGGCAGGCCAGGGAGAGAAGTGCATGGGACGCAGTAGCCTAGAAAATTACTAAATTGTTCCACCTCTGGTGAATCACTGGTGGCCCGCTAAATCCGGTTTTGATTTAAGAGAGATCGTGTGACCCTGAACTACCCCAGGAGTTATCTGTCAGACAGGGAGGAATTCACAGGCCTTGAGAAGCGGGTGCCCGTCTCGCAGGGGTGGGGAACCTGTGGCCTTGAGACAACTTGTGGCCTTCTAGGTCCTTAAGTGTGGCCTTTTGATTGAATCTGAATTTTACAGAACAAATCCTTTTATTAAAAAGGGGTGCAGCAGAGAAAGATGAAGCTTTTCTGGCCTCCTTTGGTGCTTAAAAAAGAACAAGCTTGAAATCAGAAGGCGGCAGGCTCCCCACCCCCAGCGATGCTTTGGGGATCAGCCCCGCCACGGCCAGCCCTGCACTCAGCGGCGGGGGGGCGGGGGGGGGGTGGCGGCGTGCAGGGAAGCAGAGGCCCAGGCCCTGCCTTCAGGGCCCAGCCTTACCCCAGGGACAGCGCAGGGACAGCAGTCCTGGGGAGAGATAGAGGTGCTCAGTGGAGGAGGGGTGAGGAGTGGTGGGTGTGGCGGGAGGGAAGACGAGGGGGCTGTGGCAGAAGGAAGAGTGTGGGTGCCAACACCCAGGCCCGGTGCACCAGCTGCATGGGAGCTGGGCTGCTGTCTGGAACGGGAAGGGGTGCGTGGCGAGGGCCTGGCAGGGCATGGCAGGGAGAGCAGGCCCTGGGGCAATCCCGTCTCCTTTGTGGGTCTCTGTGCTCCAGGCCCGGGCACCCCCTTGGCTCCCTCAGGCTTGGAGGGGACCTGGCCTTGCTTCGCACGAAGGATGACTCCGGACTGACACTGAGTCTGGCCTGCTGTGGGGACAGGTCCGTCAGGGTGGCCCGAGAGCCGGGGGCCCCAGGTCAGAGCCTGCCCCCCTCCATCGGTGCTTTCTGTCCCAGTCCTGGAAAGCCTGAGCGATTCCAGAAGATTCATCTGAGCTGCGGGAAGGTGATGGTGACTAGAGGGTCAGGACTGGTCTCTGTCCGAGTCCCCGCCCACCCCACACTCCGCCTTCCCAGTCACCCTCCCGGAGAGAATGAAGTCACTGTTTCCCATCTCGGCCTGTGGGTGGGAGGTCCCTGCTGGGCCCAGAGGCAGGGGCCAACCCCTCTGCCCTGCACCTCGCAGAAGCTTCTGGCTAGTGACACCTTGGCCACGCCCAAGGTGGCCCCTTTGCCACTCACCTGCAGACAAAGCCTGAGGTTCTCCCGCTGGATCCCCGAGGAGACGGGCTCAGAAAGCCCTGGGAACAGCCAGCTCTAACTGGAACGTGGGTCTCCTGGGCACGTCAGGAATGAGGCACATCTGGAAAAGCGTTTGCGAGACTGTCGCTGCCAGCAGAGCCAGACAGGGCCCCGGCCAGAGTGGCCTCACGCCCCGCCCAGGGCTCAGGAGCTGGGTGGGGAACCCAGCCTGGGGGCTCTGGAGGCTGGGACAGTGACACCGTCCATGAAGAGGTGCGGGAGCCACCAGAGGGTGAGGGGACAGCGTTCGCCCAGTCAGGACGCCCTGGAGGCAAGCTGGCATGGACACAGGCCCTGCCTCCGAGAACAAGCTGCCCGGGCTAGCAGGGGCTCTGGCCGCCCTCGCTGCTTCTCTGTGTGCCCACTCTTGGCCCAGTGCTTCCTTTCCTACCCTCCTGCCCCTGCCAATTGCGCAGGGACGTGGAGGCTGCGCCCCCATGCCCCCCGCCCTTCCTGGCACTTCTGAGGGCCTGCAGCCGAGCCCTCGTACTTGTTCCTGGGCCCAGAGACCTGGGGTTTCTCTCTGGTAACCAAGTCCATGGGGGACCCTTCCTGACAGGTAGGCAGAGAACCAGATGTGGGCCCTGGGGCTGGGTGGTCCTGGGTTCTAATCCCGGTTCTGCTTGGCAAATCACTATCTGAGCCTTCCAGGGTTGTGGGAAGACGGGCCTTGGCCAGATGCTATTTCCTTCCTTCCTTCCTCCTCTGGCTGGCTTGGACTTGTGGCCTACCAGGGAGAAGGAGGTGGAGGGGTTGGCCGCCTTCCTGGGCCTGGGGCTGCGGCAGCAACCTTTGCCCCTTTCCCACCCAAATGGTCAAGCAGGGCCACAGAGGCCCTGGGCATCCGGGAGATGGCGGGCAAGTGAGGTCCGAGTTAGCATTCCTGGCGATGCTTGCATTCTGGTGGCGCCTCCTGGTGACGGCAATGCCTTCATCCAAAGGAACGGAGCCATGTGGTGGCATTAAGGCAGAGGCCACACTGACTAGGGGGAGAGGACAGGAGATGTAGGAGGTGTCAGGGTGCTGCCCTCAGGGCCCTCACATCACCCTGAGATCGGTGGGCCCCTGAGTGGCCTGGGCAAAAGTGCTTTGCCTGGCCTGTTACCCCTGGGTCCCCGGCCTCCCGCCCTGCACCAGGGCATGGTGGCTTCTTCCGAGGACACACTCACACCCACACGCACCCCACAGTCACCCCCAGCCAGAGTGTCCTCACGGAGCCTGCAGGCCACATGCATGCTGGGATGGAAGCTCCATGAGGACAGGGAGCTGCTCCGTGTGTCCCACAGCTGTCTCCCGTGCCCGGAGCAACGTGTGGCACATGATACGTGCCGAGCATGTTTGTCGGATAAATCAGGCAGTTCCAGGTGGCTGTGCCCACAGGAGCACATCGCGCACCCTCAGTGGTGTGGTGGGTGCCGACCTGCGGGCACTGTCAGGGTCACCCCGACGCCCACAGGCCGTGCGGGCCCTCATTCCTGCCTCTGCCGCCACCGCCACACCAGCCTGCAAACCGGAGCGCTGGGGCCTGGGGCCAGCTCTCCCCTGTGGGCCAGCGTCACCGCCAGGGCAGGGGGCCAGGAGCCAGGGGCATGAGGGAGCCTCCAGGCATGGAGTGCTGAGCCGGGCTGCTCAGAGTGAAGAACGTGGAGGAGGCTCTGGGAAGTGGCCCAGTGGGGCCAGCTCCCTCTCTCAGGTGGTCAGTAAGGCACCAATTACCTCTGGCCACCCAGGCTCCCTGAGCAGGTAGGGCCCGCCAGCCACCACACTGACACCCGCCTCGGCCCCACTGCGTCCTATACGTCCAGGCACGTAGGTGAAGGCAACTCTGCCCCCAGCCCAGGGGGCCTCCTGCTCCCAGCAAGCACACACCAGGCTCGGCCCGGCAGCTCTCCCCGAGGGTGGGAGTGAGGGCTGGTGTCATTGTCCCCAGGATGGCCCCCGACAGGAGGCACAGGACCCACGTGTTCATCCTGCCCTGCCACTGGCATATTAGAACTCAGACTCCTTTCCCTCACTGGGCCTCAGTTTCCCACCTATAAATGCATGAGGCCACCACTCCTGAGTAGGACTGTGGTGGGCCAGGCAGGAGGTGGGAGGAGAGGGACCCAGATCACCCAGGCCCTTCCTGCAGGCCACAGAGGGGCCCTCCCTCCCAGGCCGGCACTTCCAACATGCTCCGTGCAGCAGGCCGGCGGGCCAGGCGGCGTCCTGGCCCCGAGGTCCAGATCCTTGCTGCGCGTCCGCTGCCCTGAGCCTTTGGGCCAGAGAGGCCGGGATGTCTTCTCCTGCTAGGGGCTTGTTGGGGTCCTCCCTCTGCCTCCCCTCTCCCTGCTCGTCTCCCCTTTCCTGCCTCTTGGCTCTGGCCAGTCCTGTCTTCCCTTTTAGTTTGTCCTTTTAACCCTCCGAGCTCTTCCGTCTCTGTCTCTTGGCCACGCCTGTCTCGCTGTCTCTGGCTGCGGATCTGTCTCTCTCTGTCATTTCCACTTTCGCTCTGATTCCGTTCCCTGCTCCTCTTTCATTCTCTCTGCCTGTCTCTCTGTGTCTTGTCCTCCCCTCTCTCTGTCTTCCGCCCTCCCCTCCCCTCCCCTCCCCTCTCCTCCTCTCCTCTCCCCTCCCCTCCCCTCCTCTCCTCTCTTCTCCCCTTTCCTTCCCTTCCTTTCCTCTCCTCTCCTCTCCTCTCCCCTCCCCTCCCCTCCTCTCCTCTCTTCTCCTCTCCTCTCCTCTCCTTTCCTCCATTCTCCTCCCCTGCTCACTTCTCCTCTCCTCTCCTCTCCTCTCCCCTCCCCTCCCCTCCTCTCCTCTCTTCTCCTCTCCTCTCCTCTCCTTTCCTCCATTCTCCTCCCCTGCTCACTTCTCCTCTCCTCTCCCGCCTCCTTACCTCTCCTCCCAGCCCCAGGTGGGCTCCTTTCCTGCTATCTCCCCAGCCCAGCCAGCTTGTCTGCCTGTGAGAAGAAAGTCTTAAACTGTCCCCTCTTGGCTCAAATTGCTCCCAAGAAGTTTGAGGGCTTCTGGGTGGGGTCCCCCAATACCCTGCCTGTCTCAGCGTGCAGGGTGGCCCACAGACAGTTTCTCTGCACCTCTGTGCCCTCATCACTGAAGTGGGGCATAGGCCGGTGGGGCGGGAGGCTCTGGGACATCCCCAAAGTGACACACATTGGCCAGCCTGGGCTGGGGTGTGGGAGGCCAGACTGCCCCTGTGGACCCCTGGGCCGGTGGACTCCAGACCATCGCCACTCCAAGGTGGGCTGGGACGCCAGGCAGGCAGGATCACAGCGCCTGTTTCCAGGCAGGGCAACGTCCACCCTCCGAGTCCAGCCTGTCCACCCGAGCCCTCTGGAGTGCCTGGCTCTGCACTTGGGCACCCCCTGGGCTCAGCGCATGGGGCGGGGACACCTGGATTTCTCTGGCCTCCTGAGTGGGGCCAGCTTGGAGGAATTTCCCAAAGCCTATTAGAGCACCGGCAGCCTCCCGCCTGCCTCCCCGGGCTGGGCAGGGCTGAGGGCGGAGGGAGAGAGCAAGGGAGGGGGAGAGGAGGAAGAAAAAAAGTTGGCAGGCCGACAGCAGCGCCGTGTCTGCATCCATCCCGAGAGGAGGCCCGTGTGGTGTGGGGCGGGCCCGGGCTCGAGGAGAGGCCTTCCTCCCTTTGTGCTCCCCCCGCCCCCCAGGCCTATAAATAGGCCCAGCCCGGGCTGTGGCTCAGCCCTCGGAGGGAGCCGAGCACCAGGCAGCAGTCTCCAGCCAAGCCCCCTGCCAGCATGGCCAGCGAGTTCAAGAAGAAGCTCTTCTGGAGGGCGGTGGTGGCCGAGTTCCTGGCCATGACCCTCTTCATCTTCATCAGCATCGGCTCTGCCCTGGGCTTCAACTACCCGGTGGGGAGCAACCAGACGGCGGTCCAGGACAACGTGAAGGTGTCGCTGGCCTTCGGGCTGAGCATCGCCACGCTGGCCCAGAGCGTGGGCCACATCAGCGGCGCCCACCTCAACCCGGCCGTCACACTGGGGCTGCTGCTCAGCTGCCAGATCAGCATCCTGCGGGCCGTCATGTACATCGTGGCCCAGTGCGTGGGGGCCATCGTCGCCACCGCCATCCTCTCGGGCATCACCTCCTCCTTGTCCGTGAACTCACTCGGCCGCAACGAGGTGAGTGGGGTGGCCCCGGGCTTGGGGGTTCTGGAGCGGTGCTGAGAGGGCACCAGTCCCCTCCTCTGCCCATTGTGCAGATGGGCTCACTGAGGAGCAGAGAGGACGAGAGGTTGCCGGAGGTCACGTAGAGAGCTGCGGTCAGAGTTGGGGCTGGAACCCGGCTACGTCTGCAGCCCAGAGCCTGCTTCCTGCCGGGCACTGTGGGAAGCTGAGGTCCAGAGAATAATAATGGTCTTGCCAAGCGTCCCCTGTGGCTTCTGTTGTGGGGAGTGAGCTCTGGAGGCAGCTAACGTGTGGGGCAGCAGCTCCCAGCCCTCAGCGGTAGTTTCTTGACGCTCCCCAGCCCTGTCCCCGCAGCCGCACACCGCGGGGACACTTTGCCCGCCGTCCCAGCCACCCTGCGCCAGATGCCCAGCATGTCTGCAGCCAGCTCTGCAAGTGTGTGACCAGCACTGCCTCTGGGAGCCCCCGGGGCCTCCAGGCAGCCCCCCCCCCCGTAGTCACACAGGCTCCCAAACAAACCGCCCCCCACCCAGGAATCAAGAAAAAAAGTCCCCTCCCAGTGCTGGGCCCCTGGGAGTGGGACAGAGATAAGGCGTGAAGGCGGGCGCTCGCTGGGGCTGCTCGGAGGTGGTTTTCCTGGATTACGTGTGGGCTGTGGCAGGGCCCGGCCGCTTCCGGGCACCGAGCGGGCACCAAGCGGGATGGCGCCTCTGTGTGTGTGTGGAGGGGTGTGTGCGTGTTTGCCGGCTCGGGTCTCTGGGCTGGTGTGAGCTGTGTGCACGTTTGTGCTGCTGTGTGAAGGCGTGGGGGGCGAGTGTGCACCCGCGTGTGCCCACTGCTCCCGGCTCGAGTGGGGTCTGGGCTGGGGTCACTAATGACAAGCAGATGTTGGCGACTGGGTGGCAGCTGCTGAAGCGAATTCCTCCTGGGCTGCTTAGCACAGCTAATTGGCCGTTGGCGGCAGCTGCCTGCTGTCGCAGACCCGGGCTTTTCCAGCTCCTCGGCCAAGTGCAAGCTCAGACTGTGCTTGGGCCACGACAGGGGGCAATTTGGCCGGAGAGGCTGGGTACGACTTGGAGGAGGTCTCAGCGGGCCCAAGGGACAGGCCAGCAGGCTTGGGGACGTCCTCTCAGGGAGGGAGCGAGGCGAAAAAGCAGAGAGAGGGGATCAGTTCTAGAGACGCGAGGCTGGCAGGGCCGGGCAGGGCAGGCAGGTGTGGGGACGGTGCCAGAGCCTGTGCGGGCTCCTTAGAGATGGCAGTGGTGATTACAGCCACTGTCCTCCCTTGTCCCAGCCAAAGTTCAGATCCTGGGGATGGCAGCGAGGGAGTCCAGCTGAGGTCTGGTGCAGAGGGCAGCCAGCATGGCCCTGCTAAGGGGCTTACTACTTCTTGTGTCACAGTGACACCTTACTCAGCCTCCTTTGGAGCCAACCTCTGCTCAGCCTGAGATTGAAGATTAGCCCCACGGGCTGGAGTTTAGACTTTAGCCGGGGAAGATGTGGCTGCAGCGGATGTAAGGGACAGAGCTCAGGCCAGGTCCCTGTCCCTGGGTCTCAGTCTCCTCAGTGGGGCAGAGCTGGTGGCCTCAAGGGATTCCGCTGGGTGGGGTCGAGTTCACACCGGGGTTTGGCCAGGCACGATGAGGGTGGGGACAGGTTGAGACTCCCAGGACTTCTGGCTCCATCTTGTTCCTCCCATCTCAAGGGACAGAGCCTGTGCACCTGCTGGCAGAGGCTTTGCGCTCCCTGCTGTGGGCATCCCAGGCAGAGGCGGGAGGGCGGGGCCCTTCAGTGCCATCTGGGGCTGGCCACACCCTGCTCTGGTGCCCCGTTCCTTCCCTGGCCTCCATTTTCCAGAGTCACCCTGATATCTGGGCTGGGCAGGGCAGATTGCAGAGGGGGAGAAAGAAGAGCAGCCTCGTGTGGGCCCAGCCCCAGGCCAGGGGCAGGTGCAGGTTCAAGGGCGTCTGCTGCTGGCTCCTGGCCCTGCTCCCGCAGGCGGCTCACTTTGTTGCCTCTGGCTTATCATCCCTGGGGCTGGCTGAGGGGCCCCGAGGGCAGGCCCAGGAGGGAGCTAGGCACTGTGGGGGCTCGGGCGCCACCCTGTCCAGACAATGGAGGGCTGGGGATCCGGATCCCAGCCCGGGCCTAGAAACAGAGAAGGTGCCCCTCGAAAGGGCTCTTGTCAGACATGGGCCCTGGGATATGAAGGAGCCTGGGGGTGGCCTCAGGAGGGGGAGGTGAGAGTCCGGGGCAGCCGGCCACACACGCTCGCAGCCCTCTCTGGCCCTGGGCCCCACCCTGGCCAAAACCTGGGTGGGGCAAGTTGTTGGCATGGAGATTTCCGAGGAAAATAGGGAAAGAAGTGGCAGGAAGCGGTCGGGGTGAGTCAGGGGGTGTCCCCCAGGGACTTGGTGGGGGCAACTTTCTCCTGACTGAGTCAGGGCTCAGGATACACCCTGGAGAGACCACGGGGCCTCCGCTAAGTCTCCAGGGGTCCTGGCTGATTCTAAAAGCCAAACCCCGATTTGGGCTAAGCAGGAGAGGTCCTGAGCCTGGGGTGGGCACTCGGGCCTGTGACATCACACAATGGCCCTGGCCCGTGTGGCCCGACGTCCCATCTGTGACATACGGACATTGCAGGGTGTGGCTGGGCTCTGGGAAGCGGGAGACGCTGGTGGACTGGAGTCCTGGCAGGTGCTGGCTTTTCTCATTCCTCTGCTCTGGGGCTCGCTCCGCTGAGTCAGCCGTCAGCCGGGAGATAAGCCCTGCACAGCTGCGGGAGATGGGGCAGGAGGCAGGTGTGATAAGAGGTGTCAGCGCAGGCCAGGAACTTCTGAACTTGAGGGGTGGGAGAGCAGGGAAGGTTTCAGGGAGGAGGTGCCACAGGAGTCTGAATGTCAGGGCTCTGGAGAGGGAAGGGGCTTCCGGGCAGAGGGACTGTGTGGGCACAGGGAGGACGCAGTGGGGACCATGGCCCGGGAGTGTCGGGTGTGGCCAGACTGGGGGGTCACGGTGGGAGGGTGGGGCTCTGAGTCTGTGATTTCAGGGGTGCAGGCAGAAGCAAATCTCCTCTTTTTGGGGTCTCCTCTCAGCTCTGCTGATTCAGGGCTGACTGCTGGGGAAATGCTTCTACCTACAGCAGCAGCAGGGGCCTGACCCCAGCCCGAAATCTCCTCCTTCCCGTTTCCAGGGCCTCAGTTTCCCCAACCACAGAATGAGAGGGCCCTCCATGCCAGCACTTCTTCCGGGGGCCCTGCCACCTCCCCCAGAGCTCAGAGGTGGGCTGGGGAGAGGGGAGGCAGAGTTTCCGACGTCCCTGCCCAGCCCGGCCTGCCCAGGGAGGGGCTGGGGGCCGGGTGATGGTGCCACAGCTGGGACATATAATTACTGTTTCCAGCCAGGGCCAGATGAGGGGGAGGGCGCAGAGAGAACTTTGCGGTGGAGGTTCCCTCACCATGGAAAATTCTGAGGCTGTTTCCCCCATTAGAGCCCTCAGAGCAGCCCAGCCCCTCCCCCACCAGGACACTTGGCCCTGACCAGGGCTTGCTCTGGGGACACGCATCTATCTGAAGGAGCGATGCTCTGAGAGGGGACAGGACCCACTGAGGGGACTCGCCCCACCCCACCCCCAGGCCACAGCCTCCTCTCACACCTTGTGCCCCACCCCAGGTGACCTGCCAGCAGTGCAGATGGGGCCACCAGCTCTCTGCAAGACAGCTCCACGCAGTCCTCCCCAGCCTGACTCCAGGGCCCATACGGTGCTCCCCATTTCCTCTAGGGGCCCCACAGGGCACGGGCCATGGTCCCTACTCCCTGGAAACACCAATGGGTCTGGGGTCTCTGGAGTGGGATCTGGAGGGGCGGGCAGAAAAATGCTGTCCATGAGACCCCACATGTGGCCCCGGCCCCTCCCTGGGGCCAGAGGGGCTCCTTGTCCAGTGGAATGGTGCCCACGGGTCAACAAGGGGCTGTCTCCACTCAGCCAAGGAGCTAGAGTTTGGGGAACCAGCACACCCCGAGGCTGGAACCCCTAACTCAAAAGATGACAGAAAAGGCTGGAAAATGCCCCCAGCCTTTTTAGCAGTTTCAGTGCCTGGAATCTCACCATCGGGGCCATTGAGAGGCAGATTTCTGCTCTGGGTAGGGAAGGATTTTTTTCTTTTTAGTGGAGAAGGGGATGCCTCCACGTCCATAAGCTCCCTGTCGTTAGGGGCGTGCAGGTCGAAGCTATCTGGTGGGGAGGCTGCTCTGGGGGCGCCTGGCCTGCAGGGGTGCAGTGGGATGGCTGGGAGGTCCTGTGTCTCAGGCTTTGTGCCATGCTGAGACCGACAGCTCCGATGGCCTGTGAGAGTCCTGCATTTAGGTTTCTAGATCCTGGCGGGGAAAGTGACTGCTCAGTGACAGGCAGGGAGGGATTCTGAAGACTTTCTGGGGCTAGAGTTTGGGCCAAAGCCTCCATTTTACGGATGGGGAAACTGAGGCCCACAGAGGTGTGGAGGCTTGTCAAGGTGACACAGTGGGTATGTCAGAGCAGGACCACACCCCCAGACTTCTGCTTCCCAGCTCCTGACTGTTTCTGCGGCTCCAAAGTGTGCACACAGCGCACAAACACAACACCCACACACATGTGCTCACACGTGCTCACACATAGCGGGGCGGGGGGGGCACAAGCACAGGACACAGAACACATTCTCAAGACTGGGTGGGCCTGGAACCCCAGGAGGGTGGAGTAGGGGTTGCTCGGAGCCTCTTCCTTTCCCTGCCCTGGAGTAAGGAAAAGAGGGAGGGAGGGAAGGAGGAAGCCATTGCTTTGTGTATTGTTTCTTGTCACGAAGATGAATGGCTCTGGGAGCAAATAAAGGGCTCTTTGAGACCTGCTGCTCTCTCACTCCAGGGGGCTCCTTCCCTCCTTTTCTTCCTCCCCTCTCCAGCCAGGAGCGGCACCTGTGTGGGTGTGTGACACACGGGGACATGGTGACACACTCAGAAATGCCATCAGACAGGGATGCAAACACACAGCACAGCCTTCTTGCAGGGCCTCGTGCGGTACGGAGCCCACTGCAGTGGGAGCTGGTGCCTGGGTCGTGGCTCTGCCCAGGGGCGGCCGAAGCCGCTTGGCCAGCACCTGATCAGTTCGTCTAAATGTCCCGCAGGGGCTTAAAAAGCGTGGGTATGCTCTCACTTTGGGTTTTTCCTATTTTCCTTAAATCAAGCTTTGTTAATGACGTGGTTCAAATCTGCCGTGTTCGTGTTATTGGTATGTTTTGATTGCTTCATTCTGTCGGTTTTAAGGGAGGATTGTGAAAATCTCTCACTCTGATAGTGGGGTAATCAATCCGGTTCTCCTTGTAATTCTGTCAATTTGTGCCTCATTTATTTTTAGGCTATGTTATTTGGTGCATACAGGCTGGGGATTTTTGTAGCCCTTTTATAGGTTTTTCAAAACTTCAGTTATTGTGTAATAAACCGTTTAAGGTCTACCCAACAAAAAAGAGAGAGAGTCACCCCTGGACACATGTGGCCACCCACAGATACAGCAGATGCTGATCTAGAAAGACACACAGAGGCACACAAAGCCGCGACTACTCCCGCGTACACCTGTGAACACCCATGGAGGAGAGACTTGGTGAGGCCAGGACAGTCCCGCCAATACCGAGTGCTGAGTCCTGGAGGCACTGGGGCGGGTGGGGCAGGCCTCCATGTCTCCTGTGTCGTATCCCTCAAGAGCGAATGATCAGGGCCTTAGTCGGGCCTACCACTGGAGCCGGCTGCTCCCTGAGGGTGGGCTGCCAGGGTGCCCAGGCGGAGTCAGGGGACCTGGGCCTTGGAAGTTCCTCTGGTTGGCCTGCCCATGGGCGGCAGGGAGGGTTCAGAGCCCATGGCCGGGACAGGTCAGCCCTGGCTGCCCTAGAGCTTGAGACCCGCTGGCAGACACAAGGCCACCTTCTGCCAGCTCCCCAGCCCACGCTGGGGACAGTGTGGGGTGGCACAGACTATGGGACAAGGATCCTAGCTGTACTGTCTCCTCCCTGGGCCTCGGCCTCCTCGTCTGTCATCTTACCCAGCGTTGGCACAGGCTGCCCCGAGAGGCCGCCAGAGGCTGATGACTGGCCCATCGTCTCCCGGCTAGGAAGGAAATGAAGGAGCCTGGGTCCAGGGAGCTGCTCGGGAGCAGGCTGCCTCTAGCGAGGACGGGATTCTAGAAAATTGGCATTCTCTGCCACTTCTGTCATTCTCTGCAGAGGTGTGCGCAGGGGGTGGTTATGGTCCCCCACCCCGTGCTCACCGAGCCCCCAGGCCAGGAGGAGATGAGGCACCTGCACAGGCCGCAGGAGATTCCTTTTTTGCAAGATGCCCAGACGGTCCAACCAGGCATGGCACGTCGGGGGCAGAAGTTAATTCCAGCCTGGGATCCATCCGGGAAGGCTTTCAGGAGCGTGTAGGGTCTGAGCAGTGGGCTTAAATGGAGCTTATATGCAAATGGAGCTTATATCTCTGATGATTGTGGCTTTTATATAGCTTACACTTGCATTCACAAAACTGTTACTTTTTTTTTTTTTTTTCTTTGCCTCAATCGGTGAAATATACGACTTGGGCCAGGCAAAACTACCTGGGCAAACATGCATTGTTTTCATTAACAAGTGACCACAGATGGGATTGGCCCTATTTAAGCAATTGTTTTAAATGTAATGGGTTGTAAACAGCAAAATAAGTTTCGATTTTTTTTACCTGCTCTTTCCTGGACATTAAGTTTCAACAGGCCTTATTTGTCACTTCCAATTGTGAATTATCAAGTTTTTCCAGATGTGAGTAATGCAAGTGTATTGGTCAAAGGAAGGCTGGCAGTCGGTGCTGAAGCAATCTGGGAAGGCTTGCTGGTGGTGGTATGGCGGTGGTGGGTACCAGACTGGAAGGTTATTGAGCCATGTGGTTCTCAGTAGCCAGCAAGAGGGTGCATTTCTGAGTTCCCAGGGCAGACGGCTGCCCCTCCCCTTCCCAAGGACTCTGAGCACTGGGTGGAACTGGGAGCCCTCTGCTCTGCTCCGCACTTTGGGGTAGGGGCTGGGACGCTCAGATGTGGTTAAGAACCAGGGTGGGGGAGGAGCCGCCCTGGCCATATCTGTGAGAGGGGCGGGGTGGGGTGGAGGGAGTCTGAGGCAGGAGCCACTTACCAGGATGGCCCCTTAATCAGCCAGGAAGGGCTGGTTTCAGGCCCGCTGCCAGCTAGCTATTAGGGCGGCCCTGGAGCGCAGAGGAGAGAGGAGCGGGAGCCGCGAGCTTCCGAGAGTGTAGACGCAGAGGCGTGGGCCTCGCAGGTGTGAGCAGGGGCGGCATCAGTGCCAGCCCGGCCTCTCGGCCTCGCCTCCATCCAGCCCGTCCCAACCCGGCAGGCCTTGGCCAACAGCTCAGCCGCCCTCTGTCTCCTCTGCACACCCCTGTGCAGACAGGGCCCCTCCCCTCCTGCCTGTCCCCAGCCCTGTGCATGCGATGAGAAAACAGAAGCGCAAGAGCCACAACCACTGCCTGATCCCTCCCGCCTCTGCAACCCTTTCCGCGTGCCCCAGACGGCCCCCATTGTCTTCAAACGTCCCAGCTGCCCTGGAGAGTGGCCAGGGACAGTTATATCCATTATGCAGATGGAGAAACTGAGGACCAGAGAGGGGACAGGCCATGCACATGGTGCCAGCAAGTAGAAGAGTCAGGACCTGAGCATAGGCCTTCTGCCTCCCCGGCCCACCCTTGGGGCAGAAAGAGAACCGGGCATTGCCCAGAGGGCTGGCAGACCCAAGGGGACGCAGCTCTGGGGTCACCAGGAGAGGTGGACGGGAGGGGATGTGAGTCATTCCCCGTAACCCAGGGCTGCAGACAAAGGCGGGAAGAGAATTGTTCTTGTAAGATGGCCTCAGGGTGGGGCCGGGAAAACCTCTAGAGGGATGGAGGTGTGGCCCCCAACTAGGATTTTGCAAAATCCTCTGTGGCCTTGGAGATACCCCACACGCGCAGGATGGGAGCTGGGAAGTGAGACCTCCAGCTCTGGCCTGTAGGGACGCCCGCCCCTACGTGGGAGAAGGCAGCCCAAGTGGCCGCGCCTGGGCATCTTTGCAAACGGGCCTTTGCCCAGTGGTCCGGCTCCCATGTGGGTGCACCTGGCCCCTGGACCCCCGCGTGGAGGAGTGTGTGGAGGCTCCCTGGTGCGGCTGCAGGGGGAGGGCTTTTGTGACCTCATGGCAGCTCCCATTCCCTTCTCTTTCCATGACTCATGTTTCTAAAAGTGGCCAGGAGCAAGTGCAGCCAGACAGTGGTGGCGGGGCCTATATGGCCAGGAAGAGGGAAGGCGGGTGGGGTGGGGGCCTGGTGGGGGCCGGGTGGGGGAAGAAGGAGAGAGAAGGAGGGATGGGAGGGCAGGGCCAGAAGGGATGGGAGAGAGACACTAGGTGGGGGAGACAGATGGGTGGAGAAGGAGAGACAGAGGGTGAAGGCAACAAGGGAGATAGGCACAAAGGAGAGACAGACAGACAGACAGACAGACAGATAGTAGGGGCTGGGGAATTGTCTGAAGAAGGCCCTCCCCAGCTTGGGGATCTTTAGATGCAGCAGGGCATGGGGTGGGCTGCTCTGGACTTGAGGAGTACGAAGCCATGTCCCCAGTTGGGCCCTCCCACCATTTGCATCTCCTATGCCTGGGCTCACCCCTTGACATGGCCTTCCCGTGGCCTGGAGGTAGCTGGCTGCGGAGGCCCAGCTCAGCCCAGGCCTCTGCGGCCCTGTGCGGAGTGGGCCGGGTCTAGGCAGGTGCTAGGGCCGAGCGGAGCGTCATCAATAGGTGTGGGAGGCACAGGCCCGATTTCCACCACCTGAGGGAGGCGCTGGGTGATGGGTACTGATGCTGTTCGGGCTCTGACCTCAGGGAGTTGCTGGGGGGCCATGGAGGCCTGGGACACAGTCCCTGCCCGCCCCGCTCACTGGGCCCCGCCGCCCCTCCCCCTACAGCTGGCGAAAGGCGTGAACTCAGGCCAGGGCCTGGGCGTCGAGATCATCGCCACCCTGCAGCTGGTGCTGTGCGTGCTGGCCACCACCGACCGCAGGCGCCGCGACCTCGGGGGCTCGGCCCCGCTCGCCATTGGCCTCTCTGTCGCCCTGGGACACCTGCTGGCGGTGAGCGGGGGCCCTCCCAGTGGGGGTGGGGGGGCAGGGGTTGGTGGGGTGTCTGCCATGGGCAGTGGCGGGATGCCCCAATGCGCTGTCGTGGGGTGGGGGGTGGCAGGTCAGCTCTGGGGGGCTGCGGCAGGCTCCTGCCCAGGACAGGGAAGCACAGGGACCTCCTGACCAACTTTCTGGGTCAGTGTCCCCCTCTCTCTCTGGGTCTCATTGTCCCTTCTTGTTCTCTCTCCTTGCCACTTTCTCTTCCCCTCTGTGACTCTGCCTTTGTCCTCTTGGTCCCTCACTCCCTGTGTCCCCCCATCCCTGGGCTGTCTCCTTCGCAGATTGACTACACCGGCTGCGGCATCAACCCCGCGCGGTCCTTCGGCTCTGCGGTGATCACCCACAATTTCATCAACCACTGGGTAAGCGACCCGCAGGCTGCCCCTCCTGGTGAAGGGTGGGACGGGGGCTTTGGCGTCACCTGGCGAGCCTGCCCCCACCCTTGTGGCGTCCTTGCTCACTGCAGAGGCTCTGGGAGACAGCCAGGGTAGAGGACGTCAGGCAACTGGGGCCTGAGATGAAGGGGCAGGGTGGGGTCCCCTGTGAGCAGTTGTAGGCCAGCCCCAGTGTGGCGAGACCCTGGGTGCCAAGTCTGGCCCTGCCACTTTCTGATTCAGTGCGACCTGGAGCAGCCTGCCTGGCCTCTTGGTGTCTCAGGTTCCTGACTTGTGAAGTGGGGACATGGTAGGACCTACCTCCCCGGGTTGCCGGGAGGAGGAAAGGACACACTCACTTGTGTAAACTGAGCTCATCGCAAAGGAGCACTTAGCTCTTGTTGCTGGGGATGTGGGTGTTCTAGGCCAACCCTTACTCACTGGACTGTCTCTGGGGCCCTTCTAGAGCTGGGGAGGGTGAGGGTCATGGCCATCTTCAAAAAGGGGCTGGGGTCAGGTGTGGTGGCTCATGCCTGTAATCCCAGTGCTTTTCGGGAGGCTGAGGCTGGAGGATCAGTGGAGGCCAGGAATTCGAGACCACCCTGGGCAACATAGTGAGACCCCATCTCTACAAAAAATATTAATGAAAAACTTAGCCGGACCAGAATTAAATGAGAAAAAATTAGCCAGGCGTGGTGGCGTGCACCTGTAGTCCCAGCTACTCAAGAGGCTGAGGCAGGAGGATGGCTCGAGCCCAGGAGTTTGAGGTTGCAGTGAGCTATGATGACTCCACTGCTCTCTAGCCTGGGTGACAGAGTGAGACCCTGTCTTAAAAGAAAAAAAAAAAAAAAAAAAAAACCCAAGAAGCAGCTGGTGCTGACCATGCCTGAGCTGGGTGACACAGAGGCAAGGACATGCCCCCACCACACACCCTGACCCAGGCCAGGTCTGGGGGTGCTGCAGTCAGGCGCTGGGGTTGGACCCTGCCGTCTCTGTCCCAGGCACAGGTGGGAGAGAACCCATCACTGGGGTGGCAGGCAGAGGGAGCTCAGGGAAAACTTCCTAGGGGCGGGGGCTTTTTAGCGGCACCTCGAGGACCCAGTTGGACACCCTCTGAGCACACCTGCTCTGTTCCTAGATTTTCTGGGTGGGGCCGTTCATCGGGGCAGCCCTGGCTGTGCTCATCTACGACTTCATCCTGGCCCCGCGCAGCAGCGACCTCGTAGACCGCGTGAAGGTGTGGACCAGCGGCCAGGTGGAGGAGTACGACCTGGAGGCGGACGACATCAACTCCAGGGTGGAGATGAAGCCCAAATAGAAGGGGGTCTGGCCTGGGCATCCACGTGGGGGGGCAGGGGCGGGCTGGAGGGAGGGGAGGGGTGAAATCGATACTGCAGACACTCTGACCGGCCGGCCAAAGTCACTTCCCCGCGACCTGCCAGCCCTGCGTGGTCAAGCCTCCCTTTGGCGGTGTTTCTATCTCTTTCTTTCTCTTTCTCTGTTTCCTGGCCTCAGAGCTTCCGGGGGACCAAGATTCACCAACTCACCCACTCTCTCGAAGTCGCAGAGGAGGTGACAGAGAGGGACCCACCTGTTAGTTGTCTCCTCAGAGTGTGATGGGAGGTTGCCGGGAAGTCCCCCCTCACCCCGAAGTCACTCACAGACTCACCTGCGCAGGTGCCTGGGTTCCACCACCGTGGCCTTGTGCCTTCGGGCGTGGCCCTCCTTCTCCAGATGGGCATCTGGCCTGGCGGTGCTCTAGGGTGCAGGAGGTCCCAGGAGAGGCAGGGGCCCTATCTCAGGGCCTCGGGGACCCCCATCTGGGAGGTGGCAGGATGGGGAGAGCTCTGTGGCCTGAGGCACCCCTAGGATTCTGCAAGTGTAGACATGCCCTGGGTTCTAGAAGATGTAGTCTAGACCAGTGCTGCTTTTCCCACTTGCCCTGTGTTCTGTCCCTGAGGACGGAGCTGCAGCCACATCTCTGTGTACGTGTGGGCACAGGTGGGCCCAGGTGGGCCCAGGTGGGCATGGGTAGACAGGTTTCAATGCAGAGAATGACACGCAGTCCAGGTGGCTGGAAGTTTCTCTCCCCTAGGGAGAGGCTCCCAGACGGCCTGCTGTTGCAGAAGGAAGGCCGTTTGGAGGGAAGGAGGACACCCGCGTCACTTCAATGAGCTTTTAGTTGGTTTCTACCTGTTACTGGTTCACATGGATCAGTGCTTCAGTTGCCACTTCCTCTTGCCAGCGTAGAGACGCAGGTCACCATTGTGCTGGCATGTGTTTATTAAAGAGCGCTTGGGTCATCTGAAGCCCAAAGCCTGAGCACAGAGCAGCCCTGACGCAATGAGCCCAGGAAGGCAGTGTCCCTGCCGGGCCCCGGCTGACGCTGAGCAGGGAGGAGCACGTCCCTCCCCTAGTCACGAGCCCCTGCCTGGAGGTACCTGCACAGACTCGCTGTCCCACCCCAGCCGCAGCCTTCCCTCCTTACCGACCCTCGGTGGGGAGGCCAGGCCTGGGCCTGATGAAGTAGCTGCCGCTGCAGCCCAAGGACAGTTCAGAGCCCCGAGTCTGCTTGGGGGCCGAGTTCTCCCACTCAGCTATCTATGCGAGTCCATTTGATCCCATGGGGGCCCCAGCAGCTCTGCCACTGTGCCCTTAGCCATGATGGCAACAGAAACCAAGAGACATGATGACACAGGTATTTAGATGCAGTGGGACGACTGGGAGGCCCTTAACTGTCACCAACACATGACATCTGCACACTCTCTTCTCTATTCCCTAGCAGGAAATTCTAGCCCATTTAATGGATAAGGAAACTGAGGCCTAAGGTCCCACAGCAAGAGAATGATGTGGCCACGTCTAGCACCAAGGCCATGTCTCTGCCACTCCCTGGACTGTGAGGCCGGCCTCTCTCGTTCCCAGCTTCGCGGCCGCTGCCTGGGTGGTGGCCAGGGGCCAGGAGGGTGAGGGCTGTGACGGAGGGGAGGGGGCAGACCCGCGCCTGCCTGGCTCTGGCTGCTGCACACCAGGGCCCTGCATCTGTCTGCTCTGCATATACGTCTCTTTGGAATTGGAGTTTCATTATGTATTAAGAAAATAAAGGAAAATGACTTGCAAGGTCCTCCAGCCTTCCTGTAGTGTTTCTTCTCTGGCGCCACGTGCCACAAGGGTTCTCTGGGTCTGCAAGGAGATCGGTCCCACGGCTGGGGACCCAGTCCAAGCAGGAGCCACGGCCTGCCATCCTGCCCTGGGGACCTCAGCCTCACAGCCTCACCACAGAGCCCATCTGAGGGACACAGGGTCCCGCCCTACTAGGGGGACTTCCGGGGCCCAGTGGGAGGACTTGGAGATCTGGGGGCAGCTGGAAGTGGGAGGGTTCTGTCTAGGTTCCACGGGGGGATGGGAGCCATTTCTGGCTCTGGAGTGTGGAAGGGGTTGGGGAAAGCAGGACTCAGCGACAGGACTGCTCAGGCCTCCCCTCAGCCCGCATCTGCGACCCGTCTGCACCTGTGCTGGGTGCTGGGGCCCGTGGGCTCTGCCCCAGGAGCTCAGGGAGAAAGACCCACTCACGAGCGCCCAGCGAGGTCAGTGCTGTGTCAGGCTGAGGCCGGGACCCCGGTGCCTGCCACTCCCCCTTGCACACACACTTCGGGCTATTTTCTCAAAACCAGGCCAGCTCTATTGGGAAACTGAGTCCCTGATCATAGGGAAAGTGCTATGGGCAGGTTCGCACCTTCCGCCAAGGCCAGGGGCCAGCCCAGCCCAGTGAAGGCTCAGTCAGTTTTGCTGGACCAGGAAATGCAAACTGCCTCTGCGTCTCCCAGGTCGAGGAGGGGCATGTATGAATGAAAGAGGGACACTCAGGCAGTGGGAATAGGGAACGAGCTAGCCCCCTGCATCCCAGGCCCCCCGAGAGGTGTGCAGAGCTATCTCTCACAGCCCTTCTTGGGCTTGTCCCCTTACCTTGCTCCATCCTAGGCCTGAAGCCCTCCCCCAATCCCCACCATGAGCCCCAGCCACCTCCACCCCTGCCCCAGCCCCACTCCACCCCTATCCCATGGCAGAGCCGTCCTTAGTGTATTGCTTAGTTGTAGCTTCTAGAATCCTAGAGCCAAGAGGTAGGACCTACAGAAGAGGTCAGGGAGCTGATATTTCTTGATTGATTTTACATATATTCTCTCTAAGCTTTACAACATCCTTGGAAGGTAGAGATGACTGTCCCCATTTATAGAGAATGCCAAGGTCCCTGAAGATGAAATGATTTGCCCAAGGCCACACAGCAAGTGGGTGGCAGAATTGGGATTTGAACCTGTTCTGCCTGGCTTCAAAGATCAGGATCTTGCCACTATGTAGTGCAAGTGGCCTGTTTTGTTGTGGCTTCCACTAAGTTTAACTCTGGGCTAGCCAGGAAGCCAGGCTGCACCGAGAGCAGCCCCTCCTGCAGAGTGTGATGGGGGGTAGGCAGGGAGAAGGACCGCACAGGAGCGCTCCAGCATCAGGAGAAGCCCGTTCATTCTGGGGCCAACTGGACGTGGCATCTGCATGAGACACGTTGGCACCACACAGCCCAAGGCTGCATAGCACCTCTGCCCTCCAGGGCCTGTCTACCCCTCTCTCTGGGAGGAACATGTATGATGAACTTGCCCACCACCAGAGTATATGAGAAGGGAAGGGCAATGCTGCACCGTGAGGGATAATAATGCACTAAGACAGTTGCAGCTACACATTAGGCCTGGGGGCAACAACTTTGGGGCCAAGGCTGTCTCATACACCTCATCTCCCGGCCTGTGGGTTCAGTGCTCCAGGCACCCCATTTCCTTGGGGCCATCCCAGACTCTGCTCATGTTCTGTACAGTTGAATACAGACGAGAGGTTTTTTGGGGAGGTAACTGGCATGGAGTGGGGTTCCTTGGGCAACCGGAACAGCCCTCATCTGTTTCGTTCATCAGAATTTAATGGACAGAGTGAATTTCCTGAAAGCTTCCAGGACTCAACCTTTGTCCGCAGGCTGTTGAACATTCAGGCAACTGCACTTGTGAGATGCCTTGGTGGGGAGCACCTGTCGCCCCTCTCTGACTGGGTCCCTGCTGAGACCAGGCAACAGGTCACTTCCCTCATGAGACTCCCCATGGCCTTGGCCTTGACACTTGCACGCAGGGATGGTTCAGCCAGCCCAGAAGGTCGTGCCCTCTGCACCTGGCCCAGAAGGAAACAGGATGTAATCTAGCAGCCGCCGAATCCTAGAATATTTGTCTTTCCATTAAACTCACAAGAGCAAAAAGTTGCGGTTCTGCGGTTGCCCCACCTATTCCGAGGTCCCCTAGGAACCCTGGCACGGATCGGAAGATTTTCCAAAACCTTTTACAGGAAACATCGCCCCGTGATGAATGTTCATATCGGCCCGAGGTTGGATTTCAGCCACACGTACACGACCTCAAGCATTGGGTCGGTCTCTCCTGGGTTTTTATATGTTCGGGAGTCTGGGGGCCTGACGGATCCATATTCCCCTTTTGATATTTCAGTTTCTCCCCAGAATCAACGAGATTCATCTCTCCAGGCCTGGGGAGGTGCTGAGAGGTCTACAGGGAGAAGACTCCATCTCTAAAGACACCCTGGACTAGGCTTAGTCAACCCGTCACACGCAGACGCCATGACGCTTCATTGGGCTTAGCGGCCTCTCGCGCTGGCCACCCAGCACTGTCACCGCCTCAAAGCTCAAAGAGGGCCCAAAGAGAAGGGTGTGGGTGGCTCTGGGCAGCCACTTGCCACTTGACCCCCAGGACGATGGCGCCTTTCGGCACTTGGTAGATGCAGAGAGGGTTCTCTCCCTTTTGGGGTTCCTGGACTGGTGCTCAGTGTCCCTGGAGCCTGGAAAAGCACTGGAGGAACTGGTGTCGGGCCCCACCCAGGCCACGGGCCTAACTATTCGGATTTTTCCATCGCTCCTGTAGGTCACACCTTCACTGGTCAGAAACCTCTCAAGGAGGGGACAGTGATTAATGTTTTATGGAGGAGCCGCTGGGCATGACGCCTTGTTTTCTTTAGGTTTAGAATACAATGAGGACGATGAGTGGAATTTGCTGCCGAGCTGGGGCCCAGGGCAGGCGGTGCTTGGGGACTGCCTACGCAAAGGTGGCGATGTTTACTGCCCTTAGTGCCCAAGGCAGATGGAGCCCGTCCTTGCAGGGCCTTCGCCAGCCCTCAAGAGCCCGCCAGCCCCCGCCAATACCTCCGCCCGGTGTGCACAGGCCTGGGGTGAAGGGCAGCTGGCCAGTTCAAGGAGCTCGTCCTGCCCAGGTGATTCCACTTCATTCCGCTGAGATCACATTCTCCGCATATAGGATTTGGCTTATTTTTCTGTTCTTTCCAGCACATTGACCAGGAACAGGGTGAGGACATAATTGATCTGCAGCCATTCGGGCTAATACAGCCTCACCTGCTCTTGCAATATCAAAATACTTCTGTCTCGTTTCGAGCCCTCCAAGTAACTCCGCCCCCAGCACCACCGCAGTCTGGCCTCCCCGGCTGCCCTGCCCCCACTCTGGTCCCCCCAGACCCCAGACCTCCCCACAACCCGGCACTCAAGGGGCTAAGGGGGCCTCTAGGTCCCTGTCCAGCACTACAGCTGTGGGGACGTTCTGAGAGATGGGGTTTTTTGCCACACCATGCTTCGACATTTTGCACATCACCTCTGGGCGTGAAAGGATGCATTCAGTTTATGTAAGAGGGGTCCATCTGGCAAGGTTGCAGTTAGAAAAAGTGTGTGTGTGTATGTGTGTGTGTGTGTGTGTGTGTACAATGTATGCCTATTATACCCTATTTGGGGCCATCCTCTGATCTGTCCTGAGAACCTTCCAGGTGGTTCTCACTCACGGGCTAGCCACACAGACCCAGGGCTCTGTTCGCTCTGGAAGCCTAGCCCCTGACCAAGTCCTGACACATCCTCAACGGCTGGAGGAATGTTCTCTGCCTACAGTCGTGTTGTCCCTAAGAGACGTCCCCACCAGGTACTGCACTGGGTTTGCCTAGAGCCAGCGTGCTCCCCGCGCAGAACTTTGGCTTGGGAAGGCTGGCCTGGGTTGAGTGGGGCTTGACATACACTTCTCAAGTAGGTAAACAGATCTGTAATGTGGAGAAGAGTCGTGTTTTTTTCTCCCTCTGAAATATGAGGGACGGGGTATCAGTGGGGGAGAGAGAGACAGAGAAATGGACTCATTGAATGAGTCCAATTCAAGAAAAGCAAACCCAAAGAATTAATACAGATGGGAAAGTTCTCAAGCACCGAAGCCTACCGTGCACAAAAGTCTTGAACATTCTGAAAAGGATCAGTGTGTCCCTGGGGCCTTATTTCACATGAGCTTTCTTATTTATTTATTTATTTATTTTTAAACTTAGCTTATATTCTTCATAAGGCAACTTAACTAGATATAAATAACATACCTTTAAGGGACTTAAATAGAAAACCAAAACAAATTAAACTGGTAAGAGCAAGAAAATTTATTTTAATCACTTTAAGTTTAAAGTTGACAGCTGGGGGTGGTGACCATGGCATGCAGGGCGTTAGTATATTTGGAATGCATCACTTTGGTGCATGTGTGTGTGTGCGTGTGTACGTGTGTGTGCATGTGTGTGCGTGTGTGTAGGAGGTGCAGCTCATCGGAGAGGACATGCAGCCGGGAAGTAGGAAAGCCCCACACGGAGTCAGGCCACGTCTGTGAGCAACTGTGGGGCTGACCGCAGGGTCTTCTGGTTTTTCCTTTGAACTCCGAGGGAACCTTCCTGAAATCTATTAATAGCTTGAGTTTTTGAACTCTCCGAGGGCACCTTACCCAGGCCCAGTCGCAGCGTGGAACCACAGTGCTCAGTCTTAGGCAGCTGATGTTGATTCGTCCTGCGGGGAAAAAGCAAGTCCCTGAGAGTCTGGAGGGAGCGCAGGCTGCCTGCCCCTTCCCCTGCCAAACCAGGTGAACGGGACCGATACCCTCTGTCCATCCCTACCAGATCCGATGTCGGAGCTCAGGCCGCCTTCCTTGGATGGGTTCCACGTGTGGTTACCCATGAGGTTTTTTTTTCTTTTTCCTTTAGTCAGTGATAATTTTTTTCAATGTGAAATGTTTGATA